AGTACTCCCCTAGGGGAGCTATGCACTGATGCCAGTGCCTTAGCTTGCAAAGGTATTTTGCACCCTTCAAAGCAATTTTGGAACTCTTTCTGGAATAGCCATCAGAGCTGTCATCGTATTACCCTTGATGTCCTGAATGTCATCCAAATGTCGTCCTTTCAATATTTCCTTTATCTTCGGGTAAAGAAAGAAGTCATTGGTGGCCAGATCAGGTGAGTAGGGAGGGTGTTTCAATACAGTCATTTGTTTACTGGCTAAAAACTCCCTCACAGACAGTGCCATGTGAGCTGGTACATTCTTGTGATGTAAGAGCCATGAATTGTTGGTGAAAAGTTCAGGTCATCTAACTTTTTCACGCAGCCTTTTCAGCACTGCCAAATAGTAAACTTGGTTAACTGTTTGTCGAGTTGGTACAGATTCATAATGAATAGTTCCTCTGATATCAAAAAAAGGTTAGCAACACCATTGCAACAAATTCTCAAACTTAATTGTCATACCTCATATTCACTGTTAGTTGCCTGTGATTTTAGGGCAATCAGAGAGGCTCACATATCCTCAGTTATCTCAGATATTCCAGTGCTGTCTCAATATTTTAGTTTCTACCTAATTCTACTTCTTCTAAAGTTGTAGTCTTTTCTTGGTATTTTTATTTATTGAGCACTTCCAATGGCTCAGGCACTATGGTAGGCACAGATGATGCAAGACATCTGACCTGACCCTTCTGCCCTTATGGAACTTACATCCTTGGGCTGCCTTGATTCCATCTTAGAGGTTTATTCCATTACCATTATATTATGAGACACAATTCTCCTGGGAGGGCAGCCAAAAGCAGAGTGGCATAAGAAAAGCATAAAACCCAGCTAACTCCTTAGTTTATGAATTGTTCTCACTTTTTATGTGTACTAGATTTATTTCATTCAAGCAGCTGGCTGCATAAACCCAAGGAATCTGATTTATTAATGCAAAAAAGAAGGAAGATAGATCCAAGAACCGAAAGAGACTGAACCTGGGGTAGAGTCTTCAAATGGTGTGGTGTGATGAGCCCAGAAGCAGTATGATGTTAGTGAGAGGGAAGGGGCTTGGGTCAGATGATGTTGGAGGAAGGGTAAAGGCAAGGAATTTCCCCAAATTCATTTTTCTCCTGTAAGCAAAACCATCTTTACAATCTGCTACCTTGGGAATGGGGATAAATGTATTCTGCTTCAATCTAGACACTTATTTTTTAAAGTAGTATTTAAATTTGCCATATCAAAAATCTATTATGTCTGGTGGAAAGTATAATTCTGTGGCTCATACAATTGTATTTTACTCTCCACTATGAATTATTTAGAGCATCCTCTCTTTTAACTGTATACCAAAACATCATTAGAGGTTATCTAATAGCTAGCTCATTTCATTCCCCCATTGAGGCTTGTGGGCCAATTTTCACCCTGTTATACTCTCCAGAATAATGAACTAATTTGGGATCTTGCTGTGGAATTAAATGCTCATAGAGATCCCACCCCCTATGAGACCATAAACATCTGCTATAACATTTGTTATAGCCAAATAACCTTACTAGTACCAGTATGACTAAGAAACCATCGGTGGAGTAAAAGAGGTTAGGTACTGGCAGAAATGTCCTGGGAAGTATTGTATTGTCAAACGTTTATAGTCTAAGATAAATTTTGACACCAGATAGCCATTCCATTATTATTAGATCCTCCATTATTTTTTCTAATGTGGAGGATAAAACTGTAACTAGGCAACCCTTTGGACTCTTGGGAATCTCATGTCAGTTTTGAAATAGTCACACCTTCTTAAGGAGTATTTACAAATATTGTTATCATGCTGATAATACCTTACATATGTTGAGCCCTTATATATACAAGGCACTTTGCTAAATCCTTTACATGTGGTGTCTCAATCATCATACTGACCCTGTGAGGTGATTATTATTATTATCCCCATTTTACAAATGAGAATACTGAAGCCAATTATATTGCAAAACAACATTGCTCATCTGATAAAAAGCATAGCCAAGTTATAAACCCAGGCCATCCAGCTCAGAGCTCCTGCCTGGGCCCATGCTCTTCCTCTAAATGATCTTCAGTGAGACTCCTGAACATGACAGAGAGAGCATTCTAGGTAAGGGATTTATCCTTGAAGAAGAGGTGGCTCCCAGATAGCTGGACAAACGGGGGTTTATTCAAAGAGCTCAGAGAGGTAGGCAGGAAAGTAGGCGGAGGCTATGATCCCACAGTCCCCAGTCCCTCCTGCTCTCTCATCAAGCCTGCCGTCTCTTGTCTTATCCTCTTCCCGCAGTCTGTCACTTCCTTTGAGACTGCCTTTGTTTCCAGACCCTTGCTATGTTTCCTCTCCTACCAGACCCCTCCTCTTCCTAGCTTCCCTGCTATTGTGTGTTCCTCCTCTGTACCCTCTCTCTCTTGGCCCCTCTACCCAGACTTTCGAACACTGCTGGTGAAAATCACTCCGGCGTCCTTCATGCCTTTTGACAATCCCACTCTGTCCAATCTCTGGCTAGCTCCCTTTTCCATCTTCCTCTGCTTTGGCTACCTCCTCCACCGTGCCCTGTTCCACTATTTGCTAGCAAATGCCCTTGTCCCTGTACTTCTCTGAGAAAACCCAGGCTATCATCAGTGCACTTTCTTAGTAATTATCTTGATCCCTACTCACTTCTACATCCTTTGGTAGGTGCTCAGTGCATCTCTGTCCCCAACCTAATGAAATCTTTTTGCCTGAGCTCTTGACTACATTTAAGTCCTACTCCACCATCTTAGTCTTTTAATATTTTTTTCCATCTTCTGGTTCTTTTCCCCAAGACCCTCCGGTATTAAAAATTATTCCTTCTTTACCACTCCTGAAATATACTTTGTGCTCATTGTCTCCGCGTTTACACCTACAATTCATTCAGTACACTGCAACTGCCCTCATCTTGCTAAACAAACACTGAGGGCCAGGTCATCCATGCACACCCCATCGCTAACTCCAGTTTGTGCCTCTCCATTCCCTTACCGTCTCTGTAGCTTTTGACACTATTAGCCTTTTCTCTTCCCTTGACTTCCCTAACATCACTTTCTCCTGCCTCTTTTCCTGCTTCTCTGATTATTCCTTATTGATTTTATTTGAGTGCTTTTCTTGCTCACCTCACCCTTTAACGATTGACGTGTTCCAGAGTTCTGTCTTTGACCATCTTTCCATTGTACACTCTTTCTTTGGGTGTGTTCACCCATTCCCATGGTTTCACCATTATGCTAATGGCTTCCACATCAGTATCTTCAACTCAGATGTCTCTTGTATATGCTAGATCGATCCATCCAAATTCCTCTTGGATGTCTCTCCGTGGCTGTACTTCAACTATCTGCAGTTCCCCTAACTTATCTACAACTAAATAAAACACCAGCAAGTCATCTCAGGCTTCTCCTTTTCCCTTAACCCCTCTCTTCTGCCTTCCCCCTCATGTATCTCCAACCACATGTCGTTAGTGGATGGTTCTATTAACTTAATTTCTTTTTTTACATTTGTCTCCTATTCAGTAACTCTTCTGCTTCTTACCTTAGGACCCTGTCCTCTTCTGCCTAGTCTACTGCAATATCATCTTCATTATATCTCTCCCTCCAACCTTGATCCTCTCCAGTCTATTCTCCTCACTAGTTTATTTAATTAAAAAGGTGTTCTACTTGGCAAGACAAATGAGAGAGACAGGTCAAATTTAGAAACTATGAGGATGCAAAAAGAAGGATGTGAAATGAAAAGACATGGATAGGTTTTCAAAATGGAATTCTGTTCTACATATTATCTAAAAGATGCTATTGCTCCTGTGCTTTATATAAAGAGAGATAACACCACTTCAAACCATTCCATTTCTAAAATGTTCCCAATTGTCGCCTTTAACTCCATGTAGGCAAATACAGTCTCCTTTTACTATAAAATTTTTATTAACCAAGCTATCTACTAAAGATTTTATGTAACAGATCCTTTCTTATTACCTCAAGATTTATTGCTGAATTTGGGCCAATCTAGAAAAATGTTACAGTCACTTCTCCAAAAATTGCTGTAGACCAGATATTCTGGCCAAATTGTTCTAATTTTGAAATTATAGTGATATATTTTATGGTTAAATTCTCTTTTACAAGCTCTCTGTAGGCTGTTAGGGGCATACAAAATTAATTATAAATCTCATTTTGGTTTTTTTTTTTAGTTTTTATAAATTAAAGAGTAAAAAAGAGGTATCTTTATGTGAAACACTTTACATTAATAAAGCAAATATAACAAAATATTTATATTTATTGGATCCAGGTTGAGGGGGGAGAGATAGGTGATATTTTTGTATTATTCTTTATATATTATTTTTGACAAATTCTATAAAGTGACATTTTTAAAAATGTTGAATGAAAGTGATATTGTCATACATTCCTAAGTGTAAGGATTGTTATATAGAGGCCTCTGAGTCATTAACATAAATCCCAAGTGGGTGAAGTCAATGCATTGTCCGTTCTAGAACAATACAATTTTGTGTAAAATCAGTACCTTTGAATGCTAAGTATAAAAATGAAAAGTATCGGGCCGGCCGAGTGGTGCGATGGTTAAGAGCTGGCTTGGGACACCAGAGGGCCCCGGTTCGGATCCCACATATGAGGGCCAGTGACACTGCCCTCCGCAGCTGAGATG